TGGCTCCCTATCTGGGGAGTGTCTCGAGACTTAAGTCTCCCATGGGAGGAGGTACAAGTACCCCCTCATCTTTGGGACCAACTGTCCCCAGGCCTAGCCACATTCCCCGCCCTCACGGGGCTCGTAGGGAGAAGCTAGGCCTCTGGTCTGCCATCTGCCCCGCCCTAAAAGGGCTCGTGGGGATGGCAGTCCTATGAGCTGCAGATGGTAGCAAGCTCAGGCTATCCCACAAGGGCTATGCAGCAATTGTGGTGGAAAAAAAGTACTGCGTTAACTGCTCATTACTCTGTAATTTGTCTATGATTGTAATCATGTGATAACGTGTTTATCATTCATTACCTTTGAAACTTGTCATGATTTTGACCAGCTCTACCTGGAGCTCATTACCTTTGTAAATTCTCATGATTATTGTGTTTATGATTCATTACCTTTGCAATTATTCATGAGTGTGACCAGCTCTACCTGGAGCTCATTACCTTTGTAACTTGGTCATGATTATGACCAGATCTAGTTCATTACCTTTGTAACTTGCTCAGCTATCAAAACTTTGGAGTCCAGTCCCTGGACCAATTATGTACCTCTGTAATCTTTTGACTACCGCCCACAGGATGGGTATGGGGTGCATAATAAACATATTAAACTGAACTGGACTTCAAGGCTTTTTGTTGTTGCTATACTCGTTTTCTTTCAATACAGTTATAAGTTTCTCATATTTTCTTTTTCTTTGTATACTGAAAGTATTAGCAGTAGCACAGCAATATTAAAGTTTGTAAAAATTGAATAGTTTATTTGTGTAATATAAACAGTAACATAAAAAAGCATAAGTTTGACCAGGCCGATATTTCGTGACTACGTGGACCCTGACTGTATTTTTAGGTAATGTATTTCATGAAGCGCTAAACCATGTGAATAATTCAGCACAGCGGTGGAGGCTTGAACCTGCTTGATACACCGTAACATTGTCTGACAGATCCTGAGCCTGGCAGACTTGACATTGAAACTCTGAAATCGTCTGGACCTTGACATTCTCTGACATTGACACTTTGATTGACTGACAGTTTGACAGTGGCATATACAACATGTATACATGCTTATATGTGGTTGTAGGGGTCAAACCTAGCTCCTGGCCTGCCTCTCAACTTTCCACTTGCCAGAGTCACCTCTCCCCTAGCACTGTGGGCCCTATCATATACCTATTCGTAAAACTACATATGGAATCTGCCTTCACTTCTTCATCAAGGTCATTCCACTTTCTGACCACCCTAAGACTGAATAAATACTTCCCGACATCCCTATAACTCATCCGCCTTTAGGTTCCAGCCATGTCCCCCAGAGTTTCCGTTGCCAGCCTCTCAAACAGCACGTCTGTCTGCCCTATTAAGTCCTCCGAGTATTTGTATGTCTTCCCTGGTGCTTCTGTCCTCCAGGGTCATTAGATTAGATTCCTTTTGCCTTTCCTCATAGCTCATACCCCTTAGCACTGGAAATGGCTTGGAGTGAGTGAAGGTGAATGAGAGAGCTAGCTAGCTAGCCCGCCTATTTGTGGTTACAGGGGTCGATTCCCATATCCTGACCGCTTCATAACTTGCCATTCTTCAGATTCACATAGAGCCTGCCTCCATTTATTTCCTCACAAAGATCTTTCCACATCTCAACCACTCTGAGACTGAAGAGATATTTCCTAACATCCTTGTGGCTCAACTGTGCCTCTTCCAACAGTGTCCCTGAATTCTTGTTTCTCGCCTCTCAAACAATCTATCCTGTCTATCAATTCCCCATGAGTATTTTGCATGTTATGTCCCTGTAGTTCTTCTATTAGCCTTTCTTTGTAGCTCGTGAACAAACTTTGATACATTCTTCTGCACTTTCTTGTTTCTTAACATGCTAGGTCTAATGCATGATGTATAAAGGGCCCAGAATGACTTTGTTGATATACCTGAAGGCTACTCTAAGATTTGCCAGACAAGCATTGTCTACAGTGGTTATTAGACTGATGTGAGCCTCTGGCATTATACTGAACACTATGCTCACCCTTAGATCTTTGAGTGAAGTCTGCAACTTCTGGTTGCCCCATTCCCTAGTCTATACCCCATTTCTGGTGGCTGTGCACATGCATGTGTCTACTCACCTTCATGTGGTTGCAGAGGTCAAGACTTCTCTTGGCTTCACCCCTTTCCCTTCTCACTTGCTGCTTGATTGCCAGATTTACTCTCCTAGCCTTGTGGGCTCTATTGTACCTATTCTTAATGTATGTATGGAGTCTGCCTCCACCATTTTGAGGTCATTCCCCATTCTGACCTCCCTGAAACTGAAGAAATACTTCTTGATATTCTTGTGACTCATCAGTTTTTTACCTTCCAGCTGTGCCCCATATACTCATTTCCCACTTCTCCAACAATCTATCCGTCTGCCTTATCAATTCTTCTGAGTATTTTGTATTTTATCATATCTTCCCTGGACCTATTGTTCTCCAGGGCTGTCAGATTCAATCCCTTTTGCCTTTACTTGTAGCTCATACCCCTTAGCAATGGAACTTGTCTTGTTGCAGATTTCTGCACTTTCTCCAGTTTAACATGCTTCCTCAGGTGGGGGTCTATATTGGTGCTGCATACTCCAAGATGGGCTTGACATATTTTGTATAAAGCACTTGTAAGACTGTTGAGATTCCTGAAGGCCACTCTTGGATTTGCCAAATGAACATGGTGATATGGTTGGCACTATCGTCACTCCCAGATCCTTCTCTTGAGGTCTGCAGCCTGTCCCTAGTCTATACTGTGTCTAGTCTTCTGGCCCCTTCCTCAATCTTCATATTATATTATTATAATCAAAAAGAAGCGCTAAGCCACAAGGACTATACAGCCTTCATATTATAATAATCATAACTAGCACTGAACCCATAAGTGTCATACAACACTGCTCCAATCTTCATAACCTTACATTTCCTGGGGTTGAATTCAAGCAACCACTTATCTGACCAACCCTGCAGTTTGTCCAGATCCATTTGCAGCATTTCCCATCCTCATCTGTTTGTGTTCTTGGTTTTACATCAGCAGCAGATACATGCAACCCAATTCTATTTAGTATGTTATTCACAAACAAACAACACTGGTTCTAATACCAATCCTTGTGGTACACCACTTGTTACTCTTCTCCATTCTGCCATCTCTTCCTGGACAATCATCTTTGCTTCCTTTCCTTGAGGTGCTCCTTGATCCATCAGAACATGTTCCCAAATTATTTCTACCTGCTTCTAAAGTTGTTGACTTATTCTCAAATGCCTTCTTGTAGTCTTAAAAAATGAAATCCAGCCAACCCTCCGTCTTCTGTCTCACTTCCGTTGCTTTGTCTTAACCCTTTGAGGGTCGACAGGCCCTCTCCGAAACTCGTTCTCAGGGTCGGCCAAATTTAAAAAAAAAAAAAAAAATTATTTTCTCTTATGAAAAGATAGAGAATCTTTTCCCGATCATAAAGACACCAAAAGTTTGAAATTTGATAGAAAACGTACAGAATTATGCTCTCGCAAAGTTAGCGGTCTCGGCGATGTTTACGCACCGGCGATTTTGCCCACTTTGAGCCCCATTTTCGGCCAATTTCACTGTACTAGTCGACAAAAAACATGAATATTTCGCTAGAACTCCATTTTTTCTATCGAATGGGTGCAAGAAACCACCCATTTATGAAATTCAACTATCCAGTACAGTGGTCAGAATTTAGCAATTTTGCCAATTTCACACAAATTTCAAAAGATGCCAATTTCCGAATAGGGTCCAGAATAAACAAGAAAGACATTCCTGGCACTAAAATGACATTTCCTCTAGTCATTAGTCATGTCTCAAGGCCCCTCTTATATTCTTTTGCTTTCCACTTTGAATTTTTATTCTCACAAAAAATATAAGATTTACTGTTATGCAGACTACTGCATTAGTGTAAAAAATGGTATAAATATTATTGGTGCACTTGTGAAAGAATATTACTCACCAGTTGACGTGTATTGCACGCTTGGCACGATTTGTTTACTTTTGAGGTTTGGTAAAAATCAAACATTTCTGCTACTTTGAGCTCAATTTCAAGGCACCTTTCATTGTAAAACCAGTCAAAATCATCTCAATTTCTGTTATATGTCTTCCATTCTATGAAATGAGACAAAGAAAACTAGAATACAACAATAAATACCATACGAAAATACACTGCAAAGTCGCTGATTTATTCCAAAAAAATGGTCAAAGTTTTTTTTTTCTCATTATGCACTGTGTGCTGCAGGATTTTTTTTAGACTGTGCACACTGACCACATAGACCCATTCTTTCATATGAAGGCCTACCAGCTTTCTCCCACTAGATTTGAGGCCGCTAGAATTTATGCGTACTAGTACGTCAAAAACCCCTACGCGTAAGACGTACTAGTACGACCAAAACCCTCAAAGGGTTAGAGTTCCAAAAGGCTGGCAAGACTAGACTTGCTCACTCTGAACTTTTGCTGGTTGTTGTTTATGAAATCACTTCTCTCCAAGTACTATCACACTCCTTTTGACTATCTTCTCCATTACCTTGCCTATCTCCTTTCTTAAATATAGGTACTACATTCACTATCTTCCAGATCTCTGGCAACTGTCTCGTGGTCACTGACTTATTGAAGATCATATCTAGCTGCTCAGATGGTGCTTCTGCTCCCTTTTACAAAAACAATAGTGAGACCCTGTCAGTTCTCACCACCTTGATGTATCCAGCTCCATCAGTTTTTTTTTACTTCTATCTGTTGTGTATATGGAACACAAAGTGATGAAAATTATACTGTAGTAATTTTTACTTAAAATAGTAAAAATTTTATTAACACATTTGTGTGTCTGGAATATAACCCTGCTTTCCCATACGTACTTCACATAACACTACTTTCCATAAAGAGCTGAACGTTGGGAACATCTCTGCATATTATGAAAGACTTTACTATACGTCTTTCTAAATTTATTTTATAAAAAAAGGGGGAGGGGGAAATGAATGACAATTCATGCTTTAAAATATATATTTAAACATGATACTAACAATGAACGATGCCAGACTTATCCTAATAGTCATGTGTGGTGAAAGTCTATCTATTAGAAAGGTATATATTTTCTTTTGCACATACAGTATAGGCTTCAAAATTACATTCTATAAACTTACATCTAAGAAGCTAATATATAAATATTTAATACATCTGTCGGTAAAAAACTCAATTTAAAATATCTCTAAAAGGGATTTTACAACTGTTTTATGCATTGTGTTGAATGGTATGTCCAAGAGCTGTGTTACGTTGATGCTCTAAGCTAAGCCATTCACACTGCTCTTCCTTAAGCTCTAGTGCAGATAATCGAAGATAAGAGCTTCCGAGGTACATATTCTCACTAAATTTGTCTTCACTCCAAACACTTATTTCAAGGACACGCTGCTTAACAATATCCTGTGACATGCGATATGTTATCTGAAAAATAAATAAATAATTTTATTTACTTTGAGACATGATCTTAATACATTTGTGCCCCAAACTGAGAAAAGCATATCTCCTCCTCATCCCCTTAAAAAATCTTGACCACTGCTACTAAAATAAAATAAAAAGACAATACATGACTGGAACAATAATTATTCTTCTTTTTCTTTCAACAAATCAGCCATATCCCAACGAGGCGGGGTGGCTCAAAAAGAAAGACGAAAGTTTCTCTTTTAAACTTTAGCAATGTATACAGGAGAAGGGGTTACTAGCCCCTCGCTCCCGGCATTTTAGACACCTCTTAGGACATGCATGACTTAGAGGAGAATTCTGTTCCACTTCACCATGGAGATAAGAGGGAATAAACAAGAACTAGTAAGAAAATAGAAGAAAACTCAGAGGGATGTGTATATATATGCTTGTACATGCATGCGTAGTGTAACCTGAGGGTAAGTAGAAGTAGCAAGACGTACCTGAAATCTTGCATGTTTAAGAGACAGAAAAAAGACACCAGCAATCCTACCATCATGTAAAACAATTGCAGGTTTCCATTTTACACTCACTTAGCAGGACGGTAGTACCTCCCTGGGTGGTTGCTGTCTACCAGCCTACTACCAAGGACTGGAACAATACACAAATAAATAACCTGCACACAGAAGACTAAAACTTATGACTATGTTTCGGTCCAATTTAGAATGAAACATCATAATAAGTTTGACTCCTATGTGTAGGTTGTGTAAAAACAAATACATCTGATTATAAAATGTAAAAAAAAGAAAACTATATATCTGAAAAGCCTGCTGCACAGGTGAAATATAAATCTAAAAGTTTTAAACTGCTGCTTGTATATCTATCAACTACCAGAGGTTAGGCGAGTAAAATTATCGGAGTGTGATGAATATTGGGCTGGCAGAGTACTGAGAAAGGTATAATGGATGATACTGTTGAACTATCATCTAGTCTCGGTTGGCAAACTGATTTACTCACCTCGCATCTTCCTTCACCTCACATGCATCCCTTTGGTATCTTCTGTATGACTTGATGAAGATCTTTAACAGATCACAATGTCATACCCATAAAAGTTCGTTGCAAAAAATGTGCTTTTTCTTCACCACATAAGATATCATGAAATAAGACCTAGTAAGACACCAGCAGCAACAAGGAGATAAAGCAGCCCTTTAATGGCTTGTGATAATGTGCCAGCCAAGGTATGATGATTGATTCTTTAAAGCTACTACATAGATATAGAAGATATTAAATAGTTGTAAAGTTAGAATGAATGTGTACGAAGAGTGTAGCCAAGTAAATGGATACAAGAAGTTCTGCATTTTCAGCACACTGCAATCTATTGAGAAATATATTTATGTAAGAGAATATAATTTCTGGTGTCACAATTTAGTATCTAATGTACCAGGGACTTGTACTCACTGGTTCCATGAAAGTTGGGTGACAGGTTTTCTTCACAACTTTTGTTTTCCTCTTAGTCTTCTTGTGTGGGTCAGGGAGAAGATACAGTTTAACATATGGCGAAGGTTCTTGGCCAGTACTAATGAGAGACAAATTGCGGGCATGATGAACCATGATCTGCAGCTGGCCTCTAAGGTACTGGACACTGACCTTGACTTGGCCCTGCACCTGCCCTGGTATGCTTGGAATGGCTGGTGGAAGAGATGTTCGAGAATCTGCAAAGAGTAAATTAGATAAACAGAGTCAATAGCTGATGGCAATCAAGGGAGGTGTCTTGGACCTGTTCCACATCAAAAATATCACTGGCATTAGTTAATTCAACTTATGCATATTTCCTAACAGATAATGGATTTATGAATTTATTGCACAGTTTTTAAATCACAAATCACCTCCAAGAAAAAAGTAATAGAGTAAAATCTGTCATTAACAGACTAATGGGGGAAACTGAGTGTATGATAATGCTGACTGTCCCCAACAACCAAACTAGGAAATTAATATTTCATGATTGTCCAGTTGTCTTCTGAAGTAGTGGACTTGGTCCACTGACGCGGAAAACAACCAGACGCTAAAAATATTGTAGCCTGTAGTACTACAGTATGGTACTGTAAGATATAGTAATTTTATAGTACTGTACATAATTTACAGTAATTCTACTTGCTTTTTTGTGGTGGAGAGAGGAAGTGCAACCTGCTGTGAGTGATAGTGGTGACTGGGAATATCTTTTATTCTGAGGCAGAGGGGTTGTAAAGCTCTACTAGTAAAAATAACGTAGATATCTGAAATGCAAAAGGCTGAGACAACGTAGATTTCACATACTCGTACCACTGACACTCCAGACTCAACCTTCTCTATTACTTTAAGTTTCTCCACATGTTTTCTCTTAGCACCACCACTTGTTTCAGAAGCCATTGTTAATATGTTAATAAAACTACACAAAATGCTCTAAGTCCAGGGAAAATAAGAGACTGAATGATGACTGTACGCTTGAGTGAGCACAAATGATAAACTGGCAATGTTGGCCAATGACTCAGGGAACAATGAAAACAGACAGGCCCTGGATGTGGCTGCTTTGGCCTATACTGGACAAATGTCAGAGTTAGTGGACTTGGCTTGATACTTCTGAAGACAACTGGACACTATCACTAATGACAAAATGCAGAATTATGGAATTTGTCCATTTTGTCTTATAGTGTGTTTGTCTAGACAATGTTTTAGCCCAAAATTGCCAATATTCATTAATGAGTGGTTTTACTGTACTCTTGTGATGATTTGAAGGCAAAAATCTGTAAAGCAATCTGAGGCAGTGTCGTTCGTCTTTTCACAAAACAAAAATTTTGTAGTATTACAATTTTATATTTTCAGCTTTGGCTAAACATGTTTTGTTTCTGTAATGCTAGTATAGTAAAGACACAAGTAGTATTCACAGAGAATCAACTGAAAATTCTTTAAATACTGAAGCACTTTTTAAGTTTCATAGCGAGATGTACATCAGGTTGCACATTTACATACAGAAGGAAAATTAACACATCAACAAGTTTTCATCAGAAATAACTACTGATGCATGTTTTGCATAATGTAGTGAAGGCGTCTACATTTCTTCAAGTGAAGACAAGGTTAAAGTGGCATATGAAACTTGAAACAAATTAAAAGTGCATTTTTGACTAACACATTATCTTCTCTTTATTATTTATACACTTGACTCCTGAAGGTGGGTAGTGCTGTACCTGTGCTCTGGAAAGGTGGGGTATGATGCAGTTCTGAGGGCTATTTGAAATATGTCATCTGTTCACTTCTTTAATGATGGCTATAAAGTGAACGAAGGAGAGTTCATTTTTTTTTTTTTAAGTTACTCTACTTTGACAGAAGATGGCCAGTGCAGATTTTTTTTTTCACGAGCTGAAAAGATGGTGTGAGCACAGAGCTCAATGTATATAAAAAGTGACTACTATTTTAGTATTTTTTAATACACCCATCATCTCCCATTGATGTAGAGGAAAAAATCACTGTCATTCATGCAATATGTCTTGCTAGAGGTGCACAGACATCACACTTCAACTGACTCTCCTGACTTCAACATCTAGAATGCAGGCACTACAGGTCCGCCATCACAAATCCGGCATCATTGGAACCTGTAGTGTGCCGGATTACTGAGTTTGCCAGATTACAGAGTGCTCAGGTTAGAATACACTTAATAAAATTGACCAACTTGACTTACAGTAGAAAGTTCATCAAATGTCAACAAAAATCGAATATTTCCGCTACTTCGAGCTCAATTTCAAGGTACTTTTCATCGTGAAACCAATCAAAATCATATCTATTTCTGTAATATATCTTCCATTCTATCAAATGAGACCAAAAAAACAAGAATACAACCATACAAAACCATACGAAAATATACCGCAAAGAGGCGGCTAATAACTGAGAAGTGAACTCCCTTATTTATCGTCCATTTCTTTTTAATTTTTGGTGTACATTAAGAAGCATCTTTCCATCATACATTGCCCAAGTTTCAATAAGATAGCCCAACAAACAACTGAGAAAAAAAAATATTTACCAAAAATCATATATGGCAAGCCCAAGCCAGGTACTGGAAATGAGTCCTTTGTCTGACTTTTTTGGGTTACCCTAGGTTCTCTATACATACGCTGCTATGTATGATAATCTATGTAACTGTATTTGTGTATACAGTGGACCCCTGGTATTCGATATTAATCTGTTCCTGAGAGCTCATCAAATACCGAAAATATCGAAAAGCGAATCAATTTTCCTCATAAGAAATAATGGAAATCAAATTAATCCGTGCAAGACACCCAAAAGTATGAAAAAAAAAAAAAATTTACTACACAAAATATTAAGTTTAATGCAATAGAATAATTACAATAACAACAATAACAATAGAATAATTGACACTTACCTTTAATGAAGATCTGGTGATGATTGATGGGATGGGAGGAGGGGAGAGGTGTTAGTGTTTAGAAGGGGAATCCCCTTCCATTAGGACTTGAGAAAGAAAGTCCTTTTCCGGGGTTACTTCCCTTCTTCTTTTAATGCCACTAGGACCAGCTTGAGTCACTGGACTTCTGTTGCACAACATATCTGTCCATAGTGGCCTGTACCTCCCATTCCTTTATGACATTCCTAAGTGTTTCACAACATTGTCAGTGTAACAGTCACCAGCACGGCTTGCAATAGCTGTGTTAGGGTGATTGTCATCAAAGAAGGTTTGTATTTTAAGCCACATTGCACACATTTCCTTAATCTGTGAAGTAGGCAACTTCTTCAATTTCTCTATCCCCTCCTCCGAAGCAGTTTCCGCAGGTGTGGCCTCTTCCTGTTGAAGATGATCTAGCAGCTCATCAGTGGTTAGTTCTTCATTGTCCTCCTCCACCAACTCTTCCACATCCTCCCCACTAACCTCCAACCCCAAGGACTTCCCCAATGCCACAATGGATTCCTCAACTGGCATAGGCTTCTCAGGGTTAGCCTCAAATCTTTCAAAATCCCTTTCATCTACACATTCTGGCCACAGTTTTTTCCAAGCAGAGTTCAAGGTCCTCCTAGTCACTCCCTCCCAAGCCATACCTATAAGGTTTATACAATTGAGGATATTAAAGTGATCCTTCCAAAACTCTTTTAGAGTCAGTCGAGTTTCTGTGGTCACTACAAAGCACTTTTGAAACATAGCTTTTGTGTACAGTTTCTTGAAGTTGGAAATGACCTGCTGGTCCATGGGCTGCAGGAGAGGAGTGGTATTAGGAGGCAAAAACTTGACCTTAATGAAGCTCATGTCCCCAGAAAGTCGCTCTGCCAAGTCTGTAGGATGACCAGGGGCATTGTCTAATACCAGGAGGCACTTAAGGTCTAATTTCTTTTCAATTAGGTAATTTTTCACAGTGGGGGCAAATGCATGGTGTAACTAGTCATAGAAAAAGTCCCTAGTGACCCATGCCTTACATGCCCTCTGAATGTCACATACAAGGCTATAAATTATTCCACACTGACAGGGTCAACAGGAAGGGTGGTGGAGTGGCGATGTATGTCAGAGACAATTTAAATTGTTGTGTTAGACAAGATATAAAATTGGAAGCGTCAGCCACTGAATCTGTTTGGTTACAGCTTCTCGAGGGCCGAGAAAAATTAATTTTGGGTGTGATTTACAGGGCCCCAAATCTTGATAGGGAGTGCAGTAAACTTCTATGGGACGAAATTCGTAAGGCATCTACATACGAAAATGTTGTGCTAATGGGAGATTTCAACTATAGACAGATTGACTGGAGCAATTTGACAGGAAATTTAGAGTCAGGTGACTTTCTTGATACGATCCAGGATTGTTTTTTTAAAACAGTTTGTGACAGCCAACTAGGGGAAATAACCTCCTTGACTTGGTTCTTGCCAGTAGGGAAACACTAATTAATAATCTTGAGGTTAATGATGAGCTTGGGGAAAGTGATCACAAATCACTCAGTTTTAATATATCATGGAATTCCCCTAATAATGGCAATCAAGTCTCCGTCCCTGACTTTTGCTTGGCTGATTTCATAGGACTGAAAAATTACTTAGGTGGGCTGAACTGGAATGACCTGACTAAGGGTCAGGTAGGTGGTGATGGTTGCCGATATGACGCTTTCCAGGGAATAGTTCTAGCTGCTCAGTCAAATTATGTTCCAAATAGGGAAATCAGATCAAACAAAAATGATCCTAAATGGATGAACAATAGATTAAAATACCTGATTGGTCAAAAGAGAGGCATATATAGGCAAATCAAAAGAGGAGAGGGGGCAATTAAGAAATCGATATATTCAGTTAGAGAGAAATAAAAAAGGGAATTAGAAAAGCAAAAAGAGATTATGAGGTTAAAGTTGCAAGAGAATTGAAGACTAACCCAAAAGGATTCTTTCAGGTATACAGAAGTAAGATCAGGGACAAGATAGGCCCACTCAAAAGTTCCTTGGGTCAGCTCACTGACAGTGATAAGGAAATGTGTAGAATTTTTAACACATACTTCCTCTCAGTTTTTACACAGGAGGATACCAGCGATATTCCAGAAATGATAAATTATGTAGAACAGGACGATAAACTGTGCACGATTAGGGTCACAAGTGACATGGTCCTTAGGCAAATAGATAAATTAAAACCTAACAAATCCCCAGGCCCTGATGAACTGTATGCAAGGGTTCTATAGGAATGTAAAGAGGAGCTTAGCAAACCTTTGGCTAATCTTTTCAACATATCACTACAAACTGGCATGGCACCAGATAAGTGGAAAATGGCAAATGTGATACCTATTTTCAAAGCAGGTGACAAGTCCTTAGCTTCGAACTATAGACCAATAAGCCTAACCTCCATAGTGGGAAAATTTATTGAATCAATAATTGCCAAGGCAGTTCGTAGCCACCTTGAAAAGCATAAATTAATCAGCGAATCTCAGCATGGTTTTACAAAGGGGCATTCCTGCCTTACGAATTTATTAACTTTTTTCACTAAGGTATTTAAGGAGGTAGATCATGGTAATGAATATGATATTGTGTATATGGACTTCAGTAAGGCTTTTGACAGGGTCCCACATCAGAGACTATTGAGGAAAATTAAGGCACATGGAATAGGAGGAGAAATTTTTTCCGGGATAGAGGCATGGTTGACAAATAGGCAGCAGAGAGTTTGCATAAATGGGGAGAAATCAGAGTGGGGAAGCGTCACGAGCGGTGTTCCACAGGGGTCAGTGTTGGGCCCCCTGCTGTTCACAATCTACATAAACGACATAGATGAGGGCATAAAGAGAGACATCAGCAAGTTTGCCGATGACACCAAAATAGGACGTCGAATTCATTCACAAGGACATTAGAGCACTCCAGGAAGATTTGAATAGACTGATGCAGTGGTCGGAGAAGTGGCAGATGCAGTTTAATATAGACAAATGCAAAGTTCTAAATGTTGGACAGGACAATAACCATGCCACATATAAACTAAATAATGTAGATCTTAATATTATGGATTGCGAAAAAGATTTAGGAGTTCTGGTTAGCAGTAATCTGAAACCAAGACAACAGTGCATAAGTGTTCGCAATAAAGCTAATAGAATCCTTGGCTTCATATCAAGAAGCATAAATAATAGGAGTCCTCAGGTTGTTCTTCAACTCTATACATCCTTGGTTAGGCCTCATTTAAGATTATGCTGCACAGTTTTGGTCACCATATTACAGAATGGATATAAATGCTCTGGAAAATGTACAAAGGAGGATGACAAAGTTGATCCCATGTATCAGAAACCTTCCCTATGAGGATAGACTAAGGGCCCTGAATCTGCACTCTCTAGAAAGACTAGAATTAGGGGGGATAGATTGAGGTGTATAAATGGAAGACAGGAATAAATAAAGGGGATGTAAATAGTGTGCTGAAAATATCTAGCCTAGACAGGACTCGCAGCAATGGTTTTAAGTTGGAAAAATTCAGATTCAGGAAGGATATAGGAAAGTACTGGTTTGGTAATAGAGTTGTGGATGAGTGGAATAAACTCCCAAGTACAGTTATAGAGGCCAGAATGTTGTGTAGCTTTAAAAATAGGTTGGATAAATACATGAGTGGATGTGGGTGGGTGTGAGTTGGACCTGATAGCTTGTGCTACCAGGTCGGTTGCAGTCTTCCTCCCTTAAGTCAATGTGACCTGACCTGACTAGGTTGGGTGCATTGGCTTAAGCTGGTAGGAGACTTGGACCTGCCTCGCATGGGCCGGTGGGCCTGCTGCAGTGTTCCTTCGTTCTTATGTTCTTATGTTTGCCCTCCACAGCACACACAAATTAGCCTTGAGGACATTGTTTTTCCTGAACACTCTGGGAGTTTCAGAGTGATACACCAATAAAGGCTTCACTTTGCAATCACCACTAGCATTGGCACACATCAACAGAGTAAGCCTGTCTTTCATAGGCTTATGTCCTGGGAGTGCCTTTTCCTCCTGAGTAATGTAGGTCCTGCTTGGCATTTTCTTCCAAAACAGGCCTGTTTCGTCGCAATTAAACACTTGTTCAGGTTTCAAGTCTTCACTGTCTATGTAATCCTTGAATTCCTTCACATACTTTTCAGCTGCTTTTTGGTCCGAACTTGCAGCCTCACCATGCCTAATCACACTATGTATGCCACTACGATTCTTAAATCTTTCAAAGCAACCTTTGCTGGCCTTAAATTCACTCACATCAGCACTAGTTGCAGGCAATTTCTTTACCAAATCATCATGCAACTGCCTAGCCTTTTCACAAATGATCGCTTGAGAGATGCTATCTCCTGCTATCTGTTTTTCATTTATCCACACCAATAACAGTCTCAACATTTTCTAACACTTGCAGTCGCTGTTTCGTAATCACAGTTGCACCTTTTGCAAGAACAGCTTCCTTGATTGCCGTTTTCCTGGTCACTATAGTAGAGATGGTTGATTGGGGTTTATTATACAACCTGACCAGCTCCGACACACGCACTCCACTTTCGTACTTTGCAATTATCTCTTTCTTCATTTCAATAGTCATTAGCACCTTTTTTCTCGAAGGGTTGGCATTAGAAGCTTTCTTGGGGCCCATGGTGACTTATTTTGCAGAAACAAGCACCAAAAGCACTGATAATGTGGAATGTACTGAATGTATCCTTAGATGCGCACACACTGGCCGGCTTGTAAACACTGGCACACACGGGGAAGTTCAGGCCACACGTGGACACGTCTCGTACGAATCGTATTGAATACCGGGTTTTTGATCGGATACCGAGGCAAAATTTTTGCGATATAATGCATCGAATACCAGATTTATCGAATACCGATGCCATTGAATACCGGGGGTCCACTGTACCTGAATAAACTTACTTATTTACTTACTTCTATTCTGTCAACTGAGTACAAGAAACAGCCCATTCACCTATTTCAACTACCCAATAAAGTGGTCAGAAATTGGCAATTTGGCCAATTTCACACAAATTTCAACAGATGCCAATTTCAAAATAGGGTCCAGAATAAACAATGCAGACATTCCTAGCACTAAAATAACATTTTCTCTGTTCACTAGTCACAGCTCCAGGCCCCTCTTATATTACTCTTGCTTATCATTTGGAATTTTTATTCACACAAAAAATAGAAGATTTACCGTTTTGCAGACTACTGAATTATTGTAATAATTGTATAAATAATGTCAATCCATTCTTGACTGCATACTGGAATTTAGACTGGCAGGCACACATGTATTAGAAAGTGACATCATTTGTTTACTCTTGAACATCGCTAGAGAATCGAACATTTCCGCTACTTTGAGCTCAAATTTCACGATATTTTTCGTTGTGAAAGCAATCAAAATCATATTTATTTCTGTAATATTTCTTCCATTTTATCAAATGAGACCAAAAAACGAGAATACAACCATAAAAACCATACGAAAATATACCGCTATGGGGCCGCTAAAGGCTGAGAAATGAACTCCGTTTTTATGATTTGATTTCTTTCATTTTTGGTGTATGTTAAGAAGCATCTTTCCATCATACATTGCCCAAGTTTCAATAAGATAGCCCAACAGAGAGAAAAAAAAAATAATAATAATAATAATATCTATACAGTGGACCCCCGCATAACGATTACCTCCGAATGCGACCAATTATGTAAGTGTATTTATGTAAGTGCGTTTGTACGTGTATGTTTGGGGGTCTGAAAGGAATAATCTACTTCACAATATTCCTTATGGGAATAAATTCGGTCAGTACTGGCACCTGAACATACTTATGGAGTGAAAAAATATCGTTAACCGGGGGTCCACTGTATTTACTACAAGTACATGTACATGGTATACAAGCCTAGCTGACATCAGTGACATACTACTATATAGAAAGCCCCTTGTTATGCTAAGCATTTCAAGCAAATTAGGTCAGTGTCCCAGGATAAGACCCACACCAGTCCACTAACACCCAGGTACCCCTTTACTGATGGGTGAACATACGCAACAGGTGTAAAGAAATGCACCCAATGTTTCTACCCTGGCTGGGAATTGAATATTTATCAAAAATCATATATGGCTAGCCCAAGCCAGGTACTAGAAATAAGCCACTTTGTCTGGCTTTTTTTGGGTTATCCTAGGTTCTCTACACACATGCTGCTATGTGTGATAATCTATGTAGAGAAAATAGCTTTTTTGTTTCAGTTTTATGGTGTAGTATGAGTGTATATCACAGTTAGCCCTGTGCTATACTCTGTTTTCTCTAATATAAGCCCCCGAGACAAGGATAGGAGAATGGTACTTGTATCCCATATCCTCTTCAGACCTCCATCGAACTGCTCAGTATTATGCCAAATATTATTCATTCTGGAGTATTTAACATTTTTTTATGTTATTTATATTGTTTATTATGTCATATTAGATCACTTGTGATAGGCAAATAAGCAGTAGTGTTGATATTAGTGTAATAATAAGGCATATTCCCCTGCATCATGAGACTGAGCTCATGGTAACCAACAGTGACTTCAAAGCCACCTAATCTTTAATGGACAATGTACTGTGTAGGTGCTTTACACAACGAGAAGCATTTCTTTGATTAGTTGGAACCGTGGTTAGGGCTAAAAATAAGCAGGTTATAACAATAAATGGAGAAAAAGTAATTGGAATGACTTATGCAGCAAGTAGCACCACCAAACAGTACCAGAAGGTTGAAAGGTTGGTGTGGCGACCCTGGAAATTTGAAATTATGCTAGCCAAAATTAGTGCCGAATAACTGGTGGAACTGGATGTCTGATTGCTGATAACAGACCTGTACTGAAGTTAACATTTCCAGGACTTGGAGTCTGGCCAAATGGCTTTCCTGAATCCCCTCATAAATGTAAAATATACTTTATAAATTTCTATGCAATTTATTTGCAGTCTGATTCTTTATTTTTCATTAATTTATTATTTTTTTGTGTGTAATTTTATACTTTCAGAGTATGAGAATCTCGCATCACTGTCATACCTTTATTCTTAAGTTTCCTAATGTGGATGTCTGTATCTTCTTGGTCCCTCAGCAATGGATGAAAAAAAGTGTAAACCAGGTCCGAGTGTGATATCTCTGGGGCCAAATCAAAGAGTGTTGCAAGGAAAAGTTCAATCTCAAGCTTTCGCTTCTCTGCCACAGCCTTCACCTCAGAACGTCCAATCTGTACACCCTTTGGAAGGCTTTGCAAAGCAACAAAAGGAAAGTATATTACAATTAGTATACAGTACATACATACAAATAGTTTAATTTATAACATAAAAAAACAGACCTTACATTAAATTGTATTTCAATTTCTAGATGCTTACCTTGGTTCTTACAAGCAGGAACAGAAAGAAAGAAAGATAGAAAAAAGAAAGAAAGAAAGAAAGAAAAAAAAAACACTAGCTGTCTTTCCAGAATTTTGACTCAAGAAACTACAATCTCCCTCACCTGCTGCCAAATACTTTAATTACACAAACTATTATATTCATGAAGGAGAATTATTCCTTTAGGAGTCAAGGTGCCTGGGAAATAAGAGGTTATCAGGTTTGACCCAAGGAGAGGAAGATAGCTTCAATTTCTTGAATCAAAAATCCTTCACCAGCTTCAATAATTAAAGATTAATTGTACAAAAATACAAACGATGAATACAAGGTTGGAAAACTTTTAAATTAACATTTGTACACATTTTTTTTTTTTTACAAACTTTTATTACAGAGTTCATGACAATTTTAAATTTAATACAAAATTAAGTGCTCAATTATTTCAGTAAAAGTGAACCAGTGATTAACACCTTCACCTCTCCAGTTTTACTGGAGCTTAGTAAAATCAAGGTTTTGTACAGATGCCATCCTGGAAAACTGCACCAATCAAATATAAAGTTATATGAGTAAGACAGAATTGCATTCCAGACACCTCACAAAGTCCCATCATCTTTCACTCCGACTCACAATATATGTCTAACACATTATTATAGTAAAACAATGAAATCAGGGAACAGGTGGGGCTTGAGCATATGGCAAGAGAGTCCTAAAACTCACACGTCCGTTCCCTGATTTGTTTGCAGTCGTGTTATACAATTTTGTGAGTCATTATTACAGATGGTAAGCAACAATGTACTGATTAACCTCCAGTAAGATTTAGCAGGCATAACTGCAGGGTAAATAAAAAAAAAATCCTGAAATGTAGGCTCAATTACTATTTCTAAAAAAATTGGAACTGTCTAATAGTATTTAAATTAGGTAAATCTACCGAGTATATTTTTAAATTACAATTACCATATTTATGGGAAGAGCTAAAAACCATAGGGATCAAGTGCCTGGAGAATGGGAGGTAGCCAAGTTTGATCTGAGGATGTGGAGAGTAGCTCCAATTCCTTTTAACAAGAACCCTTCAGTATCAAGCCACCTTCCTTGAAAGGCACATTTATCTTGTTAAATACAATAATTTATAGTTGGTTTGGATTTTGAGGTAAGCATGGCTTCCTGAAAGGCTATCTATATACATTCACCTCATATGCAATGTCCCCCAACCCATGCAGCACCAGGAAACCTTTCCCTTGTATTTATAAACTGATATTATCAGCAAAACAGATTCTTCCAAACATGAATAAATCATGGTTCTACTGGATACAATTTTTTTTTTCTTCCAAATATTGGTTTCATCTAACCCATAGATCAAAACTGTGGTAATGGTCAAATAGTGAGAAAATACAACAGGGGTCACAGTATGGCTATAGCACATCTTCCCACAAAGGTACAGAATGTATATGTATTTTTTTTAACACGTTGGCCATCTCCCACCGAGGCAGGGTGACCCAAAAAAGAAACACTTTCATCATCATTTACACATAATCACTGTCCTTGCAGAGGCACACAGATATGACAGTTTAGATGTCACTCCAAACAGCCAATATCCCAAACCCCTAATTTAAAGTACAGGCATTGTACTTCCCACCTCCAGGACTCAAGTCTAGCTAATCAGCTTCCCTGAATCCCTTTGTATAATAAATTTTGTTTCAGATTTGAGTTCATGCTTCAGGGAACACATCTCTTTAAATACTGCTTTAATCTGAGTAAATTAACATTCAGATGATGCTTTGAAAGAAGAGAAATCCTAAGGTAAATTTAATTGAGGGGTCATGTGCTAAGATGAAGACAAAAATAAATCACTAAAAATCTTGTGGATAATTAAAGCTATTAATGAGAGGCCTTTAGAATTTTTTTGTAAACTTGAAGATTCAAGTGTAGAGTATAATACAGTACTGTATCTTGGATCAGTATATCCTGAAGAATCCAAATATAACAAAATCTGTCTTATTTATTAATGTCAGGACTCAGGTGAATCCACTGATGATGAATAGGGATAAGGTAGTGCTGAGTACATAATGACATTGTACATAATGACATCTTCCACCTTAAATGAAGTCAGGCAAGATCCTCTTATTGACTCAAACACAAAATATATCAAAAACATATATTCTTTTATATCAGTAACACACCATCATTCATTCAGCAGCTGTTTCACCAGAAGTATGAGGATACTACAAATCAAATACCCCTCCAAACTGCAACATTCCCACTTAGTCTTCAGAGTGCAGACACCGTACATCTCTTTCAAGTGCGGCTAAGCAGTCACCCTGAATCTCTTCATAAACATTATCTGGCTTACATTCCAACAGCATGTCATAAGTGCCCTTAGAATTAGGGTTAGTAGGTCTCAAAGGTTAAAAAAGGTGGCTATAAGATGGCTACCATCAAAGGTGTTAGGAATGTATATATAGAGATGGAGTAAAGGGTCTGTTATAGAATGGCCCCCACATATAGCCAAACTGATTGAAGGACAGAAGAGTTTTTTGTTAACTATATGCACCAGAACGTAAGTCCTTAAAGGAGAAGTCAGGGATACTGAACTGTCATATCTTGGTGCCTCTGCAAAGACTGATTATGTGTGAATGATGGTGAAAGTGTTTCTTTCTTTTTTTGGGTCACCCTGCCTTGGTGGGAGATGGCCAAAGTGTTTGCAGAATTTGTAGAAAGATGGTAAGTGTATTATTATTATCATTATTTTAAATTATTTTTTTTGTTTCAGGTTTCTTGTCTTCTAAAGATCCTACTTACCAATTACAAGAAAATTATGACAAAGCAGTTTTAATGAAAAGAGGCTATCGAGGGTGGATGTTTACAACCCCAAAGAGTCAGATTCTAAGTAAATCTCGGTCAGTTACTTAGGAAAAAACAATGAAATATTAGTGTAGTTTGTGATACAAAGTATTTTAATAAAACTTCATGCAGAATTGTTAATATCCCCATTGAAATTATTTAAGAAATTAAATTAATTTTAGTTAGCAAATCCCTGTTAAATTCAGCATTGTCTCAAAAATATTACTAAACATCCTATGATATATAGCATGTTTATCAATACTGTAATGAATTTTAAAATAATTATAGCCCAAAGGTAAATTTTAAGGAGGTAAAGAAAAATTATAATTTTACCATATACCTCAAAATTTTTTTTTGAAGCTTAATGTTTAAAGAATTTATATAAAGGATAGTAGCTAATATATTTTAGCTCTACTGACTAATAATATTGTAGTTGTGTTATTCTTTACTGTATTAGGAATTACAATATATCTTTTCATGATTATAGTCTTGATTATAATGTTAATGTTGTTAAATTATAGTATGTCTTGTTCACTTACAGATGGTATCCCCAGTGCAGTAAAGGCTTTTTAAAAAGGCTTCAGACAAACTTGAAGGAGTAACACATGCCTTGAAAAGGAATTAAACATGAATGAAAATTACACAACTCCTGTGAAATTTCAATGATACTAAATGTAAAAAAAAAAATGATCTTGTCAGCATTAAACAGATTAATACCTCGCTGAATTTTTCTATATACTACAATTCGTAGCCATCTTGATAGGCACAGATTGATCAATGAATCTCAACACGGTTTTACAAAGGGGCGTTCCTATCTTATGAATTTACTAACTTTTTTCACTAAAGTGTTTGAGGAGGTAGATCATGGTAATGAATATGATATTGTGTATATGAACTTCAGTAAGGCTTTTGATAGAGTTCCACATCAGAGGCTATTGAGGAAACTTAAGGCACACGGAATAGGAGGAGAAATTTTTTCCTGGGTAGAGGCATGGCTAACAAATAGGCAGCAGAGAGTTTGCATAAATGGGGAGAAATAAGAATGGGGGCACATCACAAGCGGTGTTCCGCAGGGGTCAGTGTTGGGCCCGCTGTTGTTCACAATTTACATAAATGACATACATGAGGGAATAAATAGCGAAATAAGCAAATTTGCTGATGACACCAAAATAGGCCGTCCAATTCATTCTAATGAGGACACATGAGCACTCCAGGATGATTTGAATAGACTGATGCAATGGTCGGAGAAGTGGCAGATGCAGTTTAATATTGACAAATGCAAAGTTATAAATGTTGGACAGTTAAATAACCGTGCCACATATAAACTAAATAATGTAGATCTTAATACTACTGATTGTGAAAAGGATTTAGGAGTTCTGGTTAGCAATAATCTAAAACCAAGACAACAGTGCATTCGTGTTGGCAATAAAGCTAACAGAATTCTTGGCTTCATATCTAGAAGTATAAATAATAGAAGTCCTCAGGTTGTTCTTCAACTCTATATATCCTTGGTTAGGCCTCATTTAGACTATGCTGCTCAGTTCTGGTCACCGTATTACAGAATAGATATAAACACTCTGGAAAACGTACAGTGGAGGATGACAAAGATGATCCCATGTATCAGAAGTCTTCCATATGAGGATAGACTGAGGGCCCTGAATCTGCACTCTCTCGAAAGACATAGAATTAGGGGGGATATGATCGAGGTGTATAAATGGAAAACAGGAATAAATAAAGGGGATGTAAATAGCGTGCTGAAAATTTCCAGCCAAGACAGGACTCGCAGCAATGGTTTCAAGTTGGAAAAATTCAGATTCAGGAAGGATATAGGAAAGCACTGGTTTGGTAATAGAGTTGTGGATGAGTGGAACAAACTCCCGAGTACAGTTATTCAGGCTAAAACGTTATGTAGTTTTAAAAATAGGTTAGATAAATACATGAGTGGGTGTGGGTGGGTGTGAGTTGGACCTGACTAGCTTGTGCTGCTGGGTCTGGTGCCGTGCTCCATCCTTGAGTGGAGGTGACCAGACTGGGTGGGT